AGAAAAGCAGCTAAGATGATTGAAGGCCTGGAGACTAAAACATACGAAGAACCAGTTGCAGGAATTGGGTTTGGCCAATCTAGAGAGAAGGAGGACTGATAGCAGTCTTCCAGTTTTTTGGGGGGCTACCAAAAAGATGAGGGGGTCAACTTATTTTCCAAAGCACCAGAAGGCAGGATAAGAAACTCTGGATGGAAACTCATCAAGGTGAGAAGCAAGCTGGAATTAAGGAGAAACTTCCTAAGAGTGAGGACAATTAACCAGTGGAACAGCTTGCCACCAGAAGTTGTAGGTGCTTCATCCATCCCTGGGGCGTTTTAAGAAGAGACTGGACAGCAGTTTGCCTGAAATGTTATACAGTTTCCTGCTTGAGCAGAGGGCTGGACTAGAAGACCTCCAAGGTCCCTTCCAGCTCTATTCTGATTGATTGATATTGTGAGCCTCCCAAATAAACCCGACCGGAAACATAACCAGATAAGCTAATTCTACAGGTAATTCTCCAGTTAAGACCATAACGCAGCCTGCCCATCACGATAAGAACCCTAGATGGTTGTAAAGTGAATTGGTCATGTGACCGAAACATTTTTATGGCCTTGTTTACAGCAGTTAAAGTGAACCGATCATTCGCTATGGGTGTGGTTTTGCCGAAAGCCAGAAGTAAACACCAGTTTTCAGCAAAACCGTAATAAAACATGCTCACAGGTCTATTCTATTGCAACTCCACACGGTCACTAAAGCAACTGGTCGTAAGTACTGTACTGTACTGTATTACAGAATCTTTAACAAAGGTTCTGTTTTACATTAAGGGAATCTTTCAAGCCGGACAGGACAATTCTCCGTCTCTCTTTATTGCCTGGTTGAGTTGGGGCAGATTCTTTCTAAATTCCTCTGTCCGTTTCTCAGTTGTGAGCTTCTCCTCCTTTTATTTGATGGTTCTTTTGCCACCATCTCTCCTCCTCGCCTTCCAAGGTCATTCTCCCATTCCATTCGTATGTTAAGTTAGTCTGACTAACTTAACGACTGCAGCAAGTCAACCTGCGAGATGGTTGGTTGTAAGTCTTGTTTACGGTGCCATTGTCACTTCGGTCACTAAACGAATGGTTGTAAGTCAAGGACTGCCTGTATTCTCCTTAAGAGAGGGTGAGATGCCATCGATATGGAAATATTACTGTATTACTATATTATATATACGGTATTACTGTATTACTATTCTTCTCATCCTTCCTAGTACCTATCTCTCCCCACTTAGGACTAGAATCATGTTGCTTGTATCTTTACAATTGATATTGTTTTATTTGTTTTCCTGGTATGTTTTGATTACGTATTAGTAACCTATGTATGATTTGATTGCTGAGAGTAACCTATGACTATCACTAAGTGTTGTATCTTATGATTCTTGATGAATGTATTTTTTTTT